CAAGTCTAGTTCCAACATCTGGATTGCATTACATGATGTGATATGTGACATGAACTCATATGATATGCATTATAAGACAATGTTCTAAGTGAATATGTATGCGAATGTTACATGAACTACGTGATAAAAGTTACGAACTTATATGTCTATGGATATAAACTATGTGAATTGTGATAAAGCCCATGTCATGTAGATGAGAGCTATAGGTATAATTGGCATGCTAAGAGTCGAGGGTTCTACGTGGTCCTTTGGGAAATATATGTAATCATTTGGAACATATATGCGGTTCTTTGAGACACATATTTGGTCCTTTGGAATATATATATAGTCCTTAAGGAGATTTCTATGTGGTACTTCAGGACATTTTATATGGCACTTCGGTGCATTTCTACGTGGCACTTCGGTGCATTTCTATGTGATACTTCGGTGCATTTCTACGCAGCACTTCAGTGTATTTCTACGTGGCACTTTAGTGCATTTTATACGAGTTGTGGTGACAACATTTATGCACAACCTCAATGCACTCACATACCTTAAGTTCTTGGTATTGTATCATATAATATGAAATAATATTAAATACTATGATGAGTTGTTATGTGGGAAATTCATGTGTATGTATGTTGCATTGAATGAATATATGATTGCATGTTACAAAATTACATTATAGCATCATTCTATATTGTGCCTCACTAAGTCGATGACTTAGCGTGTGAGTGTTTCACATGTAGGATCCAAGAAGTTAGAAGAGCGAGGATAGTTGGCTGGGATAGCATCACTCATTCAGATATTAGATCAGAAGCAACTTAAACAGTAGGTTATTTTGTTATAGTAATCAGTGTTGGCATGTAATTAAAAGTTTAAGATGTATATGCTCTGATAAGTTGTGAGTTTTTTGTATTGAATTTATGTAAATTATTGGGTTTATTTAATATAAGTTTAAATTTTCTACTATTTTTGTATAAGTATATTGTTTTGAAAATTCAATGTAACATCTCAGACTCGTATCCGGGTCGGGTACGAGTAGGGGTGTTACCTTTACAATTCGAACCATTCGTTATCACCATTAGTCATTGTTGACTTTGTTGTTTTTCAAGGAACTCATTGTAAGTATTCGCATCATTTTCTCCTGATTTCGGTTTTTTCGTACTTGGTCACTGGTGAGACCGTCGAGTTTTATTTCCGCTGCGCCATAGGGTGCGCCGACGTTCCAACAATGGTATCAGAGCCACTTGTACGATCCTAATTCAGGTTAAATTCTTGGTTGATGCGATATGTATGAGATGCATGTTCTAGTTTTATCGTTTTCGGTGAATATGTATGATATTATTGTTCGATTTGGTAACCATAACGATTAATATGTTAATTTGTTAATCTGTTTTGTACATTCTTTGTGTTGTTGCTGAAACAATGTCGTCCACCGACCAGATCTCCTCAACACAAATGAGCAGTGACATCCTCAGACAATCAGACTTCCTCAACACGAAGGAACTGTGTTGTTTCTAAATTATCCAAATACGACTAGACGTCCTCAACAGTAATGAATAATGTAGTCCACCGACTAGATCTCTTCAACGAGAAGGAACAATGTCATCTTCAGCAAACAATTTACTTGAAGGCGGCCATAACTCTTCAATATAGATGAGCGATGTCGTATTCAACACCAAATTATCTCCAGATTTACCCTACTTCCTCAATGAGATGAAACATCATCATCTTCAGCAAACAATTTTCCTGAAACCGACTGGATCTCTTCAACGTGAATGAGGAGTGTTGTTCTCCACCTCAAAATTACCTCTAAAAATAATATCATCAACAAACAACAATTATTCGAAGAAAAGGGGCCGATCGAAGATAAAGAAGAACTTGCTCAACCTCAATAGTTGTCTTTTAAAAAGGAGTGAAGAGTTCTTAATAAGAAGAATTCGGAGCTCGAGACTTGTTGACAGTCCGAAAATTGATGCTTTATGTCTTTGCTCTATTCCTGTTTCACATCAATGAGCAAAGAGGGGTAGTTGTAATCACCAATTTTTGTCCCAACAAATCACCACTTTTTTGTAATTTTGCATTTATTATTATTATAATATAATAGTTGGTTTGGTTTATATGTTGGGGATATAAAAACCCCAACTTTACTTATAAAAAAGCCCCATTTTCCCCGAAATATTAGGAAAAAAATAAAGGAAACTTTTCTTTTGTTCTCCATTTTTCTTTCTCCCATTTTTCATTTTTTTTTTGGGCCAACATATAGCTTAGGGGTGACCACCGTTGAGCAGTGGCCGGCGAGTGAGAGAGACTGACTTACGGTCATGCAATGCCAGTTGTTGGTGGACGATAGTGTCCTCTTGCGTCGGGGAGTCAATTAGTTTTTGGGTCTCGGTTCTTAGGAGTTTGTCCCTAAACTAGAGCTTTAGATTTTGTTTAGGAAGCTTTTGGGGTGGTTCGACGGTGGTCGGGCCGAGTGGCCACCTAGATACTGTGGCCGGTGATAAGTTTTGAAGTTTTAGGAGCTTCTCGACTGGACAGTAAAAAACAAAGGGTGAAGTTGTTCGGTCGGTCCTCATTCGGTCATGGTCGGGGTCGCCGATTGAAGTAGGATGGTTACCGGCCTGGTGGCCAATGTGCGAGGGCTGGCTTACGGTGGCCGTCATTTGGTTTAGAGCCTTGAAAAGGGTCTGTTCGTGAGACAGAGAGATCAAACAAGTTTCATTGTTTTTTAGGTAAATTACGCTAAGGTCCCTAAACCTTTAGCTTTGTCTTACCTTTTAGTCACCATTATTGTGGTCAAATTATTCTCGAGTCCTCCCAGTTTCAGTGTGTTTCACGCTTTGGTCACTATCAGGGGAAAATCACCTTTAAGTCCTATGTATTTTAACCCTTTTTGCACCACAGCCACTTATTTTTTTATTTATTTCGAATATACATATTGATTTTCCTAACTTTTAATTTGGACACTATTCTTCTATGTTATTTATTTTAAGTTAACTACTAACTTTTATTTTATTGCATATTAACCACTTACATTTATTTATCGTTGAAATTCGATTCGACCTTGTGGTGACCCGATTCGGGGTATGATCCACATTATTATGGTATGGACTTTGCTAACTACTAACCGCTAATTTTTCTAACAACTAACATTTCTAACTGCTAACCACTTATCGCTAATTACTAATCGCTAACATTTTATTTATTTATTTGTTATATTTTATGTTCCAACCATGTACGACCTTGCGACTCCTGCCTCGAGGTACGACTCGCATTATTTATAGTCCGGGATAAATAATAAAATTTGACATTAACATTTTATTTTTATTGCATTTTATTCTTGTTATTTAATTTTATGCACTTTTAAATTTATGTCTTTTATTTTCTTTATTTAATTTCAGTCCTTTAATTTCAGTGCTTTAATTTCAGTCCTTTAATTATTACGCTTTATTTTCTATTTATTCCATTTTACTCGCTAATGGATTCTGCCTTGTTATTTTATCTATAAAATTGATGTTGTAGTTCCGATCTATGCATCTTGGTCATCATTTTTCCTGCTTTTCATTATTTTTATTTTTGACTTTTCATTTTGTTTCATTCTAACATGGTCACTTTTTTATTTTAAATATAGTAGTCCTTATATATATAACTCATGTTTTAATCATCATTTGTTAAAGTTGCAACTACTCTTATATTCAATATTAATACTTGGTAAGATTTCATTATACTCGTATGTTTTCAAGAACACTCTATCGTAGAATGGGCGCGAAAAGAACAACATGATCGAAGTAGTGCGATTCGACATGATATTCAAACGAAAAATGAACTTGAAATAAGTCGAGTTTATAAAAAATGATAATCAATTCGTTCCTATTCAAATGATGCAATGCATGCTTTTTTAATAGTAATTTATTTTATACAATTATCGATAGTCAATTTATATTCGATTTGTTTTTAGACAACACTGAGGAGAGGACATTTCTCGTACAATAGAGAAGTATAGGGGATAGCATTCCCATCAGAGGATGTGTAAATCCCGTGATTTTCTCTTTAAAACAAGGAATGCCCTTTAACAAATAATTCAAAAAATATCATTTTCAATAAAATGATCGTTATTTAAATATTGATATGAAGTCAATTTCCACAATTTATGACAATGTGTAAGCAATTAGGTACGAGATAAAATTAATTCAAAATTAATTCAAAATCCTACTTTCTTTAAATAAGTCATAATTATTTTTTTAAAAGATTTTTTTGAAAATGGTTATGACACTAATTACTTAAAAGAAATTCATTAAACCCGACAATGAGAGAAGTGACTGATAAAATTGAGAGATATGATGGTCGAAACGGGAGAGTGAGATTGAGAGAGAACTGAGAAGGAAAATTAAAATATTGGAGATAGCTAATTTAAGAATTGCAATTGGTGCTTAGGATTTAAAAAAAATAAAATTAAATAGAAAAAAGAGCCATATAATAAGGTAATCTAGTATATGTTTAAGTGAAATTTTATGAGGGCTTGATCTGTAAACTTGTAAAAAATAACGAGGTGAATACTTAATTCAAAATTTTATATAATTTTTTAATGTGCTAGATAATTTTTAGATTCCAATTACCACTTTTATTATATTTTGGTCACCCAACGATTATTATTTTTAAAATCATACCTAACGTTATATTTTGGTATATTTTAGTTAAACGTCGTTAAAAAATTAACAGAACATTGATGTGACATTTTTTATTTTTTTAAATGATGATATGACATTATCTTATGGTGACACATTAGTCTAACCTTTAATTTTTTAATAATAGGTAACCAAAATGAAATCAAAACGTAACTTTAAATATGATTTTAAAATAAAAGTAGTAAAGTGACAATAATGAAGCAAAAATGGTAGTTGGAATACTAAACGTGCAATTTATCCTAATTTTTAATTGAGTCGTTCAATCATGAGTTGAATATTAAATCAGGTATTTTTGAACTAGCTCATTCTAGAGAGAATCAAATGGAACGGTCCAAATTCCAAATCAAGCCTCCATCTCTTTCCTCAGAGACAAACGGAAGAAAATTAAGACTAGTTGGGGACATGGGCGTTCTGATTCTGATTCTCCTACCGGTTTTCTTATGCCTGAGTCCACCCATTTGTTATGCTCAACATGAAGACCAATCTTCCTCATTTTCTTCGCTTAGAACAGTCATAGATGTAAAAGACGGCCCGGATTCAGTTGTATGGGTTGTTCAGCTCTCTGATCTCCATTTCAGTGTTCACCATCCTGATAGAGCCATCGATTTTAAAAACATTGTGCCGGCTGCCCTTGCCATGATTAACCCTTCTCTCGTCCTCATTACTGGTGATCTTACAGGTTTAAATTTATGGGTTTTCTTTTTTAGCTTGATTTTGCTTTCATGTTTGAACATTTCTTTTATGAGAAATCATGATCTTGAATTTTGGGTTTGTGTTTCTTTTTCTTCTAGTTGACTTTGGGTGTGAAATGGGAGGAAGTAATATGCACATATTTCTTAAGAAATTTGGTTAAAATTTTATGGATTTTATTCTTTAAATAATAATCTACAAATACATTGTTCTTTGTTTCAATAGGTTGTTTATTAAATTTGGTCGAAATGAGGTTGCATTTGATAAAGAGCTGTTAATGTATATTGTGTCCTGGAAATTTAGAAGTTAGCTTTGATTGAACTGGTAAATTTTTTAATTTTTTGAGTAAATGAAATGTTCAGTTTAGAAATTTTACGTGCCCCTATGAGCTTCCCAACTCTATTTATAATTCTCTACCTCGTAGATGCTGCTGCTATTAAGGCAAATAGCTTAGGCAGAATCTTGGAAAAGACATAGCATTATGCCACAATGTTGTCTATCTTGTCTATCTACTTGTATCTCACTGTTTCCTCCTCACCATGAGTGAAAACATGAGATAAGAAGAAACTCCACAGGCTATCAGTGGTAAATAATTCTATTTGTACCCATTTTCAGAAAATAACATTCTTCAAAAAAAGGAAAAAAAAAGCGTCTACACGTACATTTTGAAAGTGGTAGTTTGGTTTCTGTTGTTTTCTCCCACTGGAATTAAGTAACAAATGGGCACAGAGCTCAGAATCTGGATAGTATAGGCTTTTCTTGATCTTGGTAGTTCATACCTGTTCGAGCTTTTTTGAGTCCCTTTTGTCTATATAATAATATCTTGCTGATGCAAGAACTTAAGGTCGCAAACATGCATCCGATGTGTATGGGATGGTAAATTCATGAAACTCTATTGATCAGTATTATGACTTTGGCACCATTAACTTGTTACAATATGACTTGAGTGCGCTGCATATGTTTGTATGTATGTTTGTGGTGCTATAACACTTGCATTAATAAGGCACATAGCTTTAAAAAAGCACTTCATGTGTGAAATAAGGTACAATGCTTATATGCATGTGTTATTGTATGTGTGTCGTTGTATATATAAATGAGATTAATATCTATAATTATGAGAATAAACTCTAAATTATGGTCTAATTCATCATGCAAAATGCCAATTACGGTTTCCTTGTGGTCCTTGCCTATTGTTGAATAGTAAAAATATTGGGAGTTAAAATGTTTGACATTATACTCTCCTTGCTAATAAAGGTACAGCTAATGACAACATATATAAATTAAAGTAAAACTTCAATCAGATTGTGCCTATCGCCTTACAAAAGAAGCATGCCTAGGTGCTCTAGGTGTGCGGCTAATTAAATGTGCTTCACTCGAAAGGTTCTGAAGCACTTTTTTTGTTTGGCTCTATGCTGCGATGTCTAGGATTCCTAAACACACGCCTTCACAAGACTGACCAACTTTATGATCACATTGGTTGGTTCATCTTAAATAATATATTTTCCACTAACAGATGGGAAAAGCAAGGATCTGTTAGTAATGAAGCAAAATGAAGAGGAATGGGTGGAATACAAGAACGTAATGGAAGATGTTATGAAAAGAAGTGGGCTTGATAAGAACATCTTCTATGATCTTAGAGGGAATCATGATAATTTTGGTGTACCAATTATTGGTGGCTCATTAGATTTCTACTCAAAGTATAGCATCAACGGGCAATTGGGAAGGAGTGGACATGTAAATAGTGTCACACTCACTCTTCAGGTCCTCTCTCTCTCTCTCATTTTATAAATGATTTATGATTTTATAAGGAAAGAAAATGTTAGATTTTTAACTAGAGATATAGAAGGCCTCATTTGTTTTCATATCTGAAAATTATTCAGATTTTTGTGCTGCCTGACCAATTGGCTTTTAATTTTAATTTTTTTAGGTAGCTTTATTTTAGATTGGTGGTTAAATTTCAAATTCATGTAAATATTACTACTACTGACTGGCTTTCATATATGTAAATATTTTCTTTAATCCATGCCTTGATGCAGTTTGCTCCACTCACCTGCAGATAATTAGTTAAAATCTGCAAGAGAAATGTGCATGGAACTCTAATTTTTCACTTTATATTTCTCATTATATAAAATGACGAATGATAATGGGTTCAAAATCTCTTACCAGATTGAAAACTTCTATTATAAATTCTGAGGAAATAGGTTCAGATGCTTGTTATTGTTAGTCCATTCATTCTATTTTAAACTTGGAAAATGTGTTGGTTATTTATCTTTTTAGTTTATGTCATCCCCAGGGTGGTAGACAAAAATATCTGTTCGTGGGTTTGGACAGCACAATGTCTCTTGGCTTACGAGGTCCAACTAATCTTTTCGGGCATCCAACTGACCAACTTTTGACTGAAATAGATTCGGAGCTATCACAATGGGATTCTCAACCGCTTAAACCAATGAGCAAGATATCTTTTGGGCATTTTCCTCTATCATTTTCAGCTTCCTCTCAATCTGGAAAGACCCTGAACGATATCTTCCTTAAGCATTCACTTTCCGCTTATGTATGTGGGCATCTCCATACAAGATTTGGAAAGAACTTAAAAAGGCACCACTTGTCAAGTCCTAGTTTTCTATCTTCTAACAAGTTTTTCCAGTTTAATTTACATCAAACACGATCAGAAGGTGGTAAGAATTGTTCATTTGGCGCTCCACCGGTTGAAGAATTTTGGGAATGGGAAATGGGTGACTGGAGGAAGAGTAGAGCCATGCGTATCTTAGCCATTGATAGAGGTCATGTTTCATTTGCTGATATTGACTTTAATTCAGGGTCCAAAAAGACTATTATATTACCAACATTTCCACTTGACTCGCGTTTCATGTCAACATCTTCATCACATCATGAGTATGAATGTGAACATATGCTCTCTTCATCTTATGAGACAGTGAGAGCTCTTGTGTTTTCTGTTTCTCCAATTGTGTCAGTTGTGACTAAAATATATGATACAAGATATGGAAAGCTTGAGACAATTGTGGATGCATCAATGACCAAGGTTGAAGATGAATCCTCCAGGGGAGATCTTTATGTGGTTCCTTGGAATTATAAAGCATTCCAAGACCCATCAGCTAATAGATTCTGGCTGCAAATAGAAGCAACTGATATCATGGCCGGACAACTAAGACCGAACGAAGACCATTTTCTGTAAACGGGATTCATGCTAAGTATCATGGACTTGGAGGGAGTTTTTTGTCATGGGTTGTCTGCACCGGAACTCTGGCAGCTGAGAGAGCTGTGCATAGAGACAAATTTCTATCAATTTCGGGAAATAAAAAAGATGACCACAGAGGACTGGATAAGTCTGTTAGATATGATTCCCGAGGCAATATGAGATCAAATTGGATACGGTTAATTCTTTTGGTTCTTTGCTTGGTTATCTGTTGGAAGCATTTCAAGGTAAATGACCTAACCCCTATCAGTCTAAAATCGAAATAGTTGGATTTCAAGATACTTGGTTGGGTCTGTTGGCAATGAATCACATAGACGTGATTTCCTTTTCCACAAATGCATATGCTTCATTATATAATTTGAAAAGATTGCAGTAAATGATTTAGTTGATTAACCATTTAAGTCTTCCTGCATGTTAATATAAGTTGATGGAGCACACACCGTATTTGAACTCATTTGGGAAAATACTATGTAATCAGTTTAGAAGGTCATAAGTGAATCTTTTTCCGTTTTCCATCCGCTCTCTATGTGTTGTAAAACATGTTCATTCTCAGTTACTCCTCTCTTCTAACACATTTTTTTCCTTACAGAATTGCAGATCCCTCATGAAAGCTTATGAAATGAATCCGCTTCTTCATTTTCCAGTGTATACTCTTGCAATTCCACTATTGTTGGCTTATGTCATCCACAAAACTAAGAGGAATTAACAAGTATGGTTAGGTTTTCTCTCCTCCGTTTTTGTTTTTCTTGCTAGTATACTTGGTAGATAGAGCTCAAGGTACATTTGAAAGTATCTGGAAGATGATTGCAGCAGAAAGCGAGTGGGCTGAACAACACCTGGTTTAGTTGAAAATGTAGTTTTAGCCTAATACTAACTGGCAATTATTTGGATAGCCTTTGTGGCCTGATTACAATTTTGATATGTACCACAGTTGAAGACAAACAACTGTGATATCTGAAGCCTCTCCATACTTGGACAGATTACATATGGTTCAGATTTGGTTTGGTTTAACTCAAAATTGTTTAAAATAAACCACTTGCAGTATTCACAGTGTTTTAAAAGAGAAAAGTTAGCATTTATAACATTATGTTATAGCTAGGAATGGAATGGGGTTTGATATTAGACAGGGCAAACTTGATTCGATCTTGATTATCTGAATCGATTTATTCGATTCAAGATTCAATATAGACCTGAATATGATGGCTTAAACTTAATCCGAAACCCAAAACAAATTGACTTAACCAAAACTAATCTGAATATTAGTTGGATTGATATGGATCTGAAAAAAAATAATACGAATAAAAAACAACTCGAATCGAAAGCAACTATTGAACTCAAATTTAATTTATCCAAATCTGAGTTGAATATCAATGTAATTTTAACTTGATAATTGAATCAAGGTGAACGAATATAATTTATTTATATTATTATCTCTTTTTTAGTAATGTGTGTCAGTCAAGAACCTTAGGGATAACAAGAGCACATATATTTTTGTTTACATCTGATGGAGCGGAGAGCTGAAGAGTCAAAAGGAGCTCGTGGTCATAGCTCGAACGAAGATGGCGATGGAGGAGGAGCTGTAACTGGTTCGACGATGGCACAGGAAAACGCAAAGCTATCCCATGGGAAAAGTCCAAGAGTCATTGGAAAAGCTCCTACTCCTAAGCTTCGAGAGGAAGACTACTGTTTTCGTGGATAGCCTAAGCAAACGGATTTCGGGGCGGGCACTTCGTGAACTTTTCAATCATTATGGTAAGGTCACCAAGGTTTTTATTCCTAGGGTCAATAATAGAGCAAAATATAAGATTTCCACCTTCGCTTTCGTCACCTTCGCTAACCGTGAGGACATGGATGTGGTGATTGACATATTTAATATGAAGGCCATAGGTGGGAAAACTGTCAAAATCTCAAAGGCTAAATACTCTATGCCTCTGATAAGTCCTAATCAGATGGTATCTTCCGTTCCGGCAAAACATGGTTCGAGCAAATCACTCGGAAATAATGGCCAGTCCATTCGCGTAAAGAAAGCTTTCCAGGTGAGGGGTGACCGATCGTATAAGGAGGCTCTTCTTGCTATCCATAGAGACAATCCCCTGGCTTCGGAACCAGGGTCAAGCATGCAAAGGGGGTTAGTGAGTAAAGATTCAAGTCTCGGTGATGGCTCCCAAGATGTTTTCATCCCAAAACAGGAAACTTGGTGGACTGAATGGAGTCTGGTGGGAATTTTAAAAAATAATTATAATAGGGGTCGGGCTCAAGAGGCTTTGAACGATGAAGGTATTGAACTCAAAATTGCTCAATGGAGGGCGGATTTCTGCGTTTTGACGTTTGCGTCCGAAGCCTGTCTGAAACAAACTTTGCTTTAGAGAAAACATTTGCTATGGCACTGGTTCGATTGGATTGCTCCATTGGTCCTGGAAAATGCTATACCTTATATGTTTTGTCAGGTTTCGTTACTTGGCGTGCCTCTAGTGTGTTGGCATGAAAACTTCTTTGAAGAATTATGGAATAGATGGGGTAAGTATATTGGCATGTCGTCGGAAACGAGGATGAAAGATCGTTTGGACGTTGCGAAGATTGTTATTAGGGTTGCTGCTCCTGAAGATGTTCCGTCCTCCATTCAAGTATCATCAAGGGGTCATGTATATGCTACCAAAGTTAGTCAATGGCCGGGGTCAGTCAGAGTCATCGTCCCTAAGCCAGCACTATGAGAATATTTGGGCTGACGAGTGGCCAGATGAGCTTGTTGGGTCTCCTGCTCAGGGCGATCATGGTGTTTCTCGAGTAGACGATGCGTCCGCCTCCCTAACCGGCAGTAGCGCCTCTGAGAGTGATGCAGAGGTGTCCCTACACATTCCATCTTCCTCGGAAACTGTGTCAGAAACGGCTGCAGGAGAAGAGGCTGCCCTTAACCGACCTCATTTAATGGACGGAAGATGCGTGGAGGGAGCAAATGAATCTAACACTCCAGCGGGCCCGGACCCCTCTGGTTTACCTTTAGTAAATTCTAACTTTGCTGCCAATCGAAGTGGGCTGACTGTGGTATTACGTAGCCCAGTCATTATACCCTCTATTCTAAAGCAAGGATTTTTCATACCAGGTGGCTCATTATCTTTATTGGACAGCCCAAGAAATTGCGGTTCGGGTCATTCCTCCAACCCCCTAATCTGTTCAACGAGTTCGTGGTAGACAGTATGGATGGCTCAAATTTTCTTTCCATGGTGGTGAAAGACTCCTTTTCTGGTGTATCTCAAGATCTTGGAGACAAGGATACGATGGACGTGGTGGGTTATGAAGCTTCTCTGTTTCGTTTTCCAAGCAGATGCCCTTCACAAGCTCAATTTAGAAGGCTGAGAAGGAAACATATTAGAGATTCCCTGGAGGATTTTGAAGATAAATCCAATTGTAGTGGGTCTGATCCGGATATTAATTTGAATCCTCGATTGCCTGAAGCTGAGACTTTTTTGGGAAGTTATCAACTCCTTGGGAGTTATCTTCAAAGGGGGTAAGGAGGCTATTTACTCCAAATTGCGGGAGCTTGAAGGGGTGTTTAATGGGTGTGATTAAGCAGCAGAGCTTAAACAGGTAATTACAAATATTTTGTTTTATGAATCTCTAGATAGCATCATGGAATGCAAGGGGCTTTGGAAGGTCGGAGAAAGTGAGGGCTGCTTGTAAGCTTATCTCTTCTCTTAAGGCCAATTTGGTGTTTTTTTAAAGCAACTAAACTAGATTCAGTGGAATTTTATGTTCAGAGGAGATTGTTGTGTTCTCTAAAAGGGTCACTGGTTTTTCCCCCAGCAATGGGATCTGCGGGTGGGTTAATTTGTGGATGGAACCCGAGTTTTTTTTTATGTTTCGGATAGGATTATTTCTCACAGATTCATTGTCCTTTTTGGCACAATTAAAGGTTCCAATTACAAGTGTGGATTCGTGAATGTGTACGGGCCATCTGTGGAAGCAGAGAAAAAGGATTTCTTTAAGGGCCTTCTGGATTGTCTCCTGGTGCATAGGCGGGGATTTCAATGCACATTCGGTTTCAGAAGAGAAACAAGGGCTTACAGATAATCAATATTCCTTGGAGGTGCTTAAGGATTTTGTTTACAGCCTTAATCTGGTAGACTTGCCGCTGAGGGGGGCTCATTTACGTGGTGCAATAATCGTGACCTGCCTACTTTGGTTTGCCTTGATCGTTTCTTGGTGTCGGTTGATTTTGTTCTTGCATTCCCTGATTTATCTCGGAAGTTACATCCGAGACTTTTGCCAGATCACGACGCCATTTCTCTTCAAACAGAACCAAAGAATTGGGGGCCGAAATCCTTCAAACTATACAACTACTGGATGGATTCAGAGGGGTTTGATCAAATAATATCGAAATCTTTTCTTTCCCTGAAGAACACGCGTGAGGCTAGGGGAATTGGCAGCATTCTAAAGCGATCCAAATCTTCTATTAAATCTTGGATTAACAAGACCAGGATTGATGATCTTTTGGGTATAACTCTTTGGAAAAACAAATTAGCGACTTCAAGGGTAAAATCTGGAATGGCGATTCTTCGCCGCTTCTGATTGATGAACTTCGAGCTCTTAATTCAAAGCTGTGGACTGCTTATAGGAATCAAGAAAGGATGTGGCTTCAGAAATCGAGGATTAGGTGGCTGGCAGATGGGGATAGAAGTACCCTTTTTTTCCATACCGTTGCAAACATCAGGAGGAAATGTAATACGATTAATGGTCTGTCCTTTGGTGAAGAATTTGTGGATGATCCTAAGCGCGTGAAGACCAATATTAGAGATCATTTTTATGGAGCCTATAGTAAGACTGTTGCTCTTGACCTTGCTGCACTAAATCTGCCTTTTAATAAGTTGGATTCTGTTCAATACTTGAATGTAGAGAGAAGGTTTTCAGCTGATGAAATATGGGATGTGATTCACTATTCAGATGGAAACCGTGCCCCCGTTCCGGATGGTTTTAACATGAGCTTCTTCAAGAGGTACTGGCAGTATTTGAAAGATGATTTGATGAATTTTTTTTGATGATGTTTATCACAACAGGGATTGGGAGGAAATATTAATCGCTCCTTCATTACGCTAATCCCCAAAAAGCTGAACCCAGCCTCTCTTGACGAGTTTCGTCCTATCTCTCTGGTTAGTTGTGTCTACAAGATCTTATCCAAAACTCTTAGCAACAGGCTCCGTAATGTTATGGATAGTCTTATCAGCCCCTCACAATTCGCTTTCATCTCAGGTCGACAAATCTTGGACTGTTCCTTAATTGCCAACGAAACCATAGACTATGTGTTGAAGAGGGGTTTGAGTGGGATAGCATTTAAAATTGACTTCTGTAAAGCTTATGACTCGGTCCATTAGGATTTTCTCTATCGAGTGATGGAAGAGATGGGGTTTGGACCTCGATGGTGCTCTTGGATCACTAGATGCGTGTCCACCGCTTCTGTATCTGTTCTTGTCAATGGCTCAACTTCTGATAGATTTTCGATCTATAGAGATCTTCAACAAGGGTGCCCCTCTCACCTTTTCTATTTAATCTAATTGAGGAAGCACTCAATCCAATGTTAGCTAATGCATTCTCGATTGGGTTATTTTCGGGTATTTCTATTGGGAGGGCTGATAATGAAGTATGCATTTTAAATCTTCAGTTTGCCGATGAGCTCCTTATCTCTTGTCAAGCTTCCAAGACTCAGGTGGTTAATGTAAAAAGAGTTCTTCAGGTATTCGAGTTCGCTTCGGGCCTACAGATGAACTTTAGAAAAACCAGGCTTTTTGGGATCAATGTTGACTCCTCCTCGGTTATCTCTAATTTTGCTAGCAGAATCGTTTGCTCTAGTGGAACGCTCCCGTCGGAATACCTTGGCCTCCCCCTTGGTGCCAAAAGGAACTCTGCCTCTCTTTGGGATCCGGTTATGCTCAAAATGAATCAAAGTCTTGCAAGCTGGAAATCATCCCTTCTTTCGTTCATGGG